CTCCGTTACCTCTTAACGGCAGCCAATGCGATTTCAGGGCAGCCAAAATTGGAAATATTCTGAATAAGGTAACCTTTGTGATATTGACACATACTGCTTCACATTAATATATTTGAGTCAGCATTTCATACTTTGGGCATTTAAAACTGCTGAAACAAGCCCCAAGATGAGTCCTTTATTTTCTGGGCGGTACCCTAAAAATCAAAATGTAAAATGCACTCTCTAGCGGACCAACTCCCTCGGCATGTTATCTCTCTATTCGGCCAATTTCTACTCTTTCCAGCCGCCTCCCTAAGCCTGGTAGAAGCTATGACTCCTATGCAGGCGGGTGGGAGTTTTGATGCTGCGTTTTGTAGAATTTTTAATTGGGGGGCTGGTTGTAGGATAGCCGGCAAAAGAACGCGTTGAAATTGTACAAAACACAGAACTCGGATTACAACTAACATGACGTACTAACAGTCAGACTTTGGCGTCACCAATTCATTTGAGCGCGAAATTGTTACGTGATTATCCTACTTTGTCGAGTAGAAAACAAGGCAACATGCTACAGTTTTGTCCGTTTTAACGTTCAAATGCGACTGCCGACGTGCTTTAATATTCTCTTAATTTTTATCGAGAATTTTTCTTATTATTTCTAATCATCATGAAACATGAGTTGATGTAACTCACGCGTATGGTATTTTAATCATCGGAACAATTCAGGTTAAAAGGTGTACTCTAATTGGTATGTGTACTGTCATGCACATAACCTACTGACTAGTCATGATTTGTTGACTACTACCTGATTGTTGACTACTACTTGAAAAAAAATCATTCAAGCCTTGTGACCTTATGGAAGGCCTTGAATATAATTATTTCACCTGATTAAACACAGGCATGCGAGTGTGGCAGAAAAAAACTTTTGCAAATTTGAAAACCGTTTGAAAATTGCAATTTATGTCAGCAAACGACGCATATTTTTTTGCCCTGGCCTAAAGTTGTAAAGACTAGAATACATTAGACGTTTATATATACATGTAATAGTTACATGTATATGTACTTGTATTTTGTATAATGTGACATGTGCTTAGCCCAGTGGGGCAAAAATGTACAATAAAGGTCTTCATTCATTCATTTATTCCCGTAATGTCATTATGAACCCAAGTAGGCTAATATCGCAAGAAAAATGTGTAAAACAACAAGTGAAAATCTTACATAATATCGCTTTTAAGTGATTGAGCCAAACTTCGTCCATTACGATGATACAATTAGGCTATTGATTTTAAAAATTGCTGCACATACAGGGCTGTATGGACGGACCCGCGGATGGAGGATCCCTCGGAAGAGCTGACGCAGACGCTGAAGTGGCAGCACGTGATGGCCATAGTGGTGTGCGTCGTGCTCATCGTCTTCTGTGTCGCCGCCGCAGTCATGGTCTACTGTGTGGGCTGTCGGAAAGACAGGTAAGTTACATGCTTCTTTTATATCATCATCATCATTTTCATGCCTCCGAATTACTTATCCGGTGAGGTACACTTGATAAAGTTACTCCAATACACCGTGTCCCTCATGGCGACACACGCACACGCACACACACACACAGGCACACATACACACACACACACACACACACACACACACACACACACACACACACACACACACACACACACACACACACACACACATACATACACACACACACACAGGCACACATACACACACACACACAAAGAGGCACACACACACACATACACACACACACACACACAAAGAGGCACACACACACACACACACACACACACACACACACACACGCATACACAAACACACACACACACACAGACTCTTTCTCTCACACGCACAAAACCATTGCAAAAGACACTTTTATTCAGTTGCTTGCAGTCCAGTTTAAAATATGCCGCGTCTATCTCACAGCAATGTTTTACTTGTATAACGAGTATTCCCTTGTCTTTCAGTAAACCGGAAAAGCCCCGACGGTGGTCGTACAGTAGGGAGCCCAGCACAACAGACGAAGTGAACACGTCTCATCCTGTGTAACGCAGCCACAATAAAACTGCTAGTGTCCTAGCAACTTGAAACAGAAGCAAACCGTCATTTTGGACGTGTCTACAACAACAGAACTTCCATAGGGCTTTACGTGTATATTGTATTTATTTAATGCTACCCCCCCCCCCGGACATAAAACCTATTTCTTCCTTCTCAGATTTGCCCGCTTCTTTGTTCATTAAAGACATGTACGTCACCTACATGTAACGTACGGTTACATGTACAATTTAGATTCTGAATCAATCCCTTAAATGTACATGTATTGGAACCATCAGTTAAAAGAAACTTTTTTTCCTACTTATTACTTCCGTTTATCCAAATCAGTGATTTGATTCGGTGACAATATTCATTGTTTGAATTTAACCCAGCCTGTTATGTTGATTTTGCGGCTCATTTGGTGGTATTTTGAATTACCTGTTCGGTAGCCAAGAAAAGAAATCAAGGAGCACTTGTACACTAACACACAGACGTTTGGATGTAAACGCTTTTATTGCTGCATTTTATTTATTATCTTTATAACTTATATCAAAACTTGAAGTGTATATATAAACCAACCTGAGAGGTAGTGACAATTAAGTATAATCATCACCTTTTGTCAGCATTTATTTTCACAATCAATTTAACTACTACTAATTCATTGTCCGAACAGTTATAATTATGATAATGATAAGAATTGAAATAGCAACCATAGCTAATTCACTGGATACAGGGTACTACATGATTTCAATGATATTAAAGAACAAGTTACTAGAACAAGAGTTTGGAGACATCATGATCATACCTCCATGAAAATATTCAGATATATGCCTGTGTATGGATGATGTTCAGCACCAAGGACAAGTGTGTTTGCCTGTGTGTGGATGTTCAGCACCAGGGACAGGTGTGTTTGCCTGTGTGTGGATGATGTTCAGCACCAGGGACAGGTGTGTTTACCTGTGTGTGGATGGTGTTCAGCACCAATGACAGGTGTGTTTACCTGTGTGTGGATAGTGTACAGCACCAAGGACAGGTGTGTTTACCTGTTTGTGGATGGTGTTCAGCACCAAGGACAGGTGTCTTTTTGTGTGGATAGTGTTCAGCACCAAGGACAGGTATGTTTACCTGTGTGTGGATGGTGTTCAGCACCAAGGACAGGTATGTTTGCCTGTGTGTGGATGGTGTTCAGCGCCAAGGACATGTGTGTTTGCCTGTGTATGGATGATGTTCAGCACCAAGGACAGGTGTGTTAGCCTATGTATGGATGATGTTCAGCACCAAGGACAGGTATGTTCGCCTTTGTGTATGGATGATGTTCAGCACCAAGGACAGGTATGTTTGCCTGTGTGTGGATGGTGTTCAGAACCAAGGAAAGGTGTGTTTACCTGTATGTGGATGGTATTCAGCACCAAGGACAGGCGTTTGCATAATACATGTTCCGAGAAATTCACCATTACAAAGAACAGTGTAGAAACTATCCAAATGGATTACGCCTTAATACCCTGTCCACATTTGTTCGGTTATTATGCAGAAATAGCTGTCATAATTTTCCTGCCATGAACGCTTCCCAGAAAGGTCTGACCAGCAGAAAATATAAAAGGTAAGTAAACAGCCTGCTAATATTCAAATTGGTTAAGTACATAATACATTAAGTACATAAAAAAAATATTTTTCAACCAATGTTCAGTTACATTCACTGATGTTCAAATTGAAATGCATACATTTCACATACACACCTTTTTGCATATATTTTTTTCGAATGTTGGGAATCATTTGCAAAAGACCAATGCAAGTCTGTGACATTTAGAGCAACGAAGGAACCAATGATTATTGATCATTACAAACCGTAATATTCAAATACCAACTCAGCTTCAGACAATCAACGCTACAACATAAAGAAGACTAATCTTAAACTGTTTGTCACACTGCGTTGCGGATCAGCTACTGAAGGACGCATCCTACAGTGACAACAGCAACAAGGACGCGGAAAGGTCTCCACAACTTTCTGGCAAGAGGGTGCCAACTGAAGATATTCTGACTAGGCTGAAAGGTAAGTTTGAATGAACCTTACAGGTAAGTCTCTTCTTCATATGCAGCAGAGGTACAGCATGTGGCTTTCCACGCGCATATACACCCGGAGAGGGGGGGCAGTCTGTAATAGCCTTGAACGTTAATATTATTGTAAAAGTCAGGTCAGAGTGACTTCAATCCTCCCATGAAAATTTTTATTAAGGCAAGTCACGAGTTTTTTATCGAAAGGAAGAAACTTCTGCAAATAGTGTATGGAAACTCAAAGAGGTTGGTAAATACGTATACCATGTTCCAAAATATTACCTTGCTTTGACACCATAGTCTTGAATTTTGGCAGGGAATTTTGCCGAACTGCGAATATTTCATGGCCTCGAATGTGTAGATTGTGCACGTAGGCATCAGACTGAAATTATCGCATATATTATATTTATGCAAAGTATCGCATATATATTTATACAGAGTGGCTTTCAGACTCACGCAACATCACCAAAATACACTGTATCAAATGTCACCAAATGTCACAACATTACCTTATAAGTACACAGTAGTAATTGTCAACTATTCTACACCATTGTCGATTTTAGTTTGCCAACAGACCGCTCCATTTGCATTTTTGTAGAACAGCTTTAGCTTTCGCTATGTTTTCCGTTCTTCGGTTGTCTTTCTTGTCTCTTTTTAGCAGCTTATTAATATTGTTTATTTATGCTGTTTATTTGGATGTACTATTATGACAAATGATTGCGGGGCAGGTGTACATGCGTTTAGTTATCACCCCAGTCTGCTTGTAGATTACCATGTCTTTAGCTTTGTCCACTAAAACAGCATGTTGATATATTGTGATACTTCCAATGACAGTTAGTTGGGACATCCGTGCGTCATGTCACGATGGTTCAGTCGGGTAGATTTTAATTAAAATTATTCTTCTGTTTAGGTGGCAGGACACCATGTGGAGAAAGCTGCGACACTTGCTGATTTTCCTTCTCATCATCCTGAAGGAGCCCAACACGCCAGAAGCTGGCTGCAGCTGTTCCACATCCACATTCTGCCAGATAAGACCTCTGTGGTTCACACGGAGAACTCCTTGCTGCAACTGCGATGGGCAGAACCTCACTGGCATTCCTCCCGACCTCCCAGAAAACATTGCTTTCTTATATTTAGGAAATAATAAGATAACCAGCTTCCCCCAGAACATTCCAAAATCCATCGGTCAGTTGGAATTGGAAAATAACCAGATACGTAGCATTCCTCCTGGTGCATTGTCATGTCTACTCCAGCTCGTAGAGTTGAACCTGGACAAAAACGGGATAACTAACGTTAAACCCGGGACGTTCTCTGATCATAAAATGCTGTACACTGTGTGCCTGTCTTCAAACAACATAACAGAAATCCAAACTGGTACTTTCTCAAATTTGCCCGAGCTCAAAAGGTTGTTTTTGCATGACAACCAGATAAATCAAATTCAGCCTGGTGCTTTCTTGAATCTACCCAAACTCTGGTCCTTGGGCCTGCGCTCCAACCGAATGACTTCCATCCGCCCAGGCACATTCACTAACTTACCAAAGCTCGAATATTTGGACCTGGAGGCAAACCGGCTATCTGTCCTTCCCCAGTCTGCCCATGGTATGTTGCCAGCAGGCATCAGAAAGATAATATGTTTTGAGAAAAATCCCTGGCAGTGCGACTGTCGGATGCGTCCCTTCAGACTGAAAATGACAGGGTCTGCTAAATTCGAAAACAAGATAACTTGTGAACACCCTGCCCACCTCCGCGGACAAAAGCTTAAAGACATAAATCCCGAAGACCTGATCTGTAAAGAGACGACCGCATCAACACTGCCTTTTGATAGTCATACCTCTTCTGCAGTGTCTACATCTTCTTCGTTTGCCAGCACAGAAAGTACTACTAGCCCCACAGCACATCCTGTAGGTGTCACATCTGCCCCACAGCTCATGTTAACCAATTCAAAAGCACTTATTAACGGATTCAAATGTGCTAATGGCCTTTGCTATGGTACTACCACTTCTCCCTATGAGAAAAGCACTGCTAGCCCCACAAATCCTATAACTTCCACATCTGCCACACAGCTCATGTTAACCAATTCAAAAGCGCTTGTTAACCAATTTAAAAGTTCTAATAATCTTTACAGTAGCGCTGCCACTTCTCCATACGTCAAAACAAATGCTGGGTCAACGGCATATCCTGTAGCTTCCACGTCTGCCACACAGCTCACGTTCACCAATTTGACAGTACTCGTTGACCGATTTGAAAGTGCTAATAACCTTTACAATGGCACTGCCAATGGCACTTCTCCATATAACGAAACCAATGTTGAATCAACACCACGTCCAGCAGACATAACAAGAGCGCCACTAACTACAAGTGCACCCCTGGCAATCACTTCAGACATTTCCCAAGAATCTGCACACAGTTTCCCCCTACCTGCTATCATTGGCTCTACGTGTGGCCCCATACCTGGCATTGTCCTGATAGGCAGCATTTTTCTAATTATCCGGTGGAGAAAGAGACATCCTCCTTCAGGCCAAAATTCCAACGTTACGTCGACTAACGTATGTACCACGGCTACTGCGGTGACCAGTGGTCATGATCAGACAGGGCAGGGTCAGTCTCGGGCCAACACTAACACAAACACCACAGCTGTTGTAATAGAGAGTGATGAGTATCACCAGTATGATGATATTGACAACCGCCGTCGTGTTAAGAAAGGACAGAGTCAGTCTCTGGCCATCACTAAACCTAACACAAACACCACAGCTACTGTATTGACCAGTGATGATGATCATTATTATGAAGATGTAGACAACCGCCGTCGTGTTAAGACAGGACAGGGTCAGTCTCAGGCCAACACAAACACCACACCTACTGTAATGGCCAGTGGTGATGATCACCAGTATGAGGACATTGACAAACCACGGGTTAAGACAGGGCAGGGCCAGTCGCTGAAAGTTGGAAATCTATCCCATGGCAAAATACTAGCTGCCTTAGATCCAAATCCTATGTATTTATCCACAAAAGATTCCGGTGGTCAAGATCAGACAGGGCTGGGTCAGTCTCAGACCATCACTAAATCCAACACAAACACCACAGCTACTGTAATGACCAGTGATGATGATCAGGCAGGTCATGGGCAATTTCAGGCTAGCGTTCAGTCTCTGAAAGTTGGAAATCTATCCCATGACCAAATACTAGCTGCCTTAGATCCAAATCCTATGTACGTATCTACAAAAGTGGGCAGTAGTCATGTTAAGGCAGGGCAGGGTCAGTCTGAGGCCATCACTGAATCCAACACAGACACCACGATAACAGTAGTGACCAGTGATCATTATTATCAATACGAAGACATGAACCAACATAATCAGGCAGGGCAGGGTCAGTATCAGGCCATCACTGGCACTGAATCCACCACAAGCACTACAGGTACCGCAATAATGAGTGGCCATGATCAGACAAAACAGTCTCAGGCTACCACTCCACACTTGGATGTTAGAAATCTAACGTATAACACAAGCTTGTCTGTTTCACAGCCAAATTCTATGTACACCGGCGTGGAATCAGCACCAAACAACCCAGAATCTAGAGAATTTGCTAACCGTAGGGCCATTGGAACAGCCGCTCAATCCTTGGACGTTAAAAATCTAACGTATAGCACAGGCGTGTCTGTGTCCCAACCAAATTCGCTATACACAGGCATTGAATCACCCCAAATCTAAAGGTTCCAGTACTCCGGGGAAACCTGTTGAAGAAAATACCCTGTACCTCCAACTGTAACCAAACACTGCACGAAATATTACCTTTACGCACGCCTTAAAATATGCGTAAAGATTTTGTGTAGTGAAATCCTCTAACGATGAGCCTTTATAAACTCCCAACATACCAAAGGTACAGGTAACCTTGATGAGAAAATGACCCCTGTTGTACCGCTAAATCGAACTGAACCCTCTTAATATAGGCCTCTTTGAATCCTCTACCAAGGTAAATGTGACGCGTAGCCTATATACATGTACGGCTACGGAAATAGAGATATTGTATAGCAAGAGTAAAAACACCCTGTGACAAATGAACAGATTAGATTTCATCGCGGAGTAAAGTTTTCATTTAAACCTCCTTGATTTATTTGTATGACAAATTACTTCTCTAATGACTGCAGTAACTTGCTTACTTGCGTCTTTGGACCAGCTTCTTGACACTGCACTGATGATGTACTTGTGCAGTATCAACCTTTCTTCTAATTAATGAGCACTGTACGTATGTGCCAGCTACAGCACTGAATGTTGACCTGACATGTTTATATTACATGTTCGTGAAAACCTAGAAAAGTTCAGAAAAGTAACCATTTATTGATGTGTTAATTGAAAAGATCGTATATTTATTCCCATCTACTGCTACTGCAATATCGCTATCTGTACCACTGTTCTAGTAATTATTATTATCAAATGTGCGTAATATGTATATGTTTATATTCTTTTTGTTACAAAGTGGGAAAAAGAAAAGCCTACATTTGTAAAATGAACGACAGGTGTTAAGGTTTGACTTACTTGAAAGTGTATCGAAAATAAAATTTCGATAAAATAAAAATTCATTTATCATTGATTAGCACTGTACGTATCATATTTGGCGTAATAGGTTTTAGGTAGCATTTTCAAGTGGCGTAAACCAAACGCTAAAATATCACACGTTACAGTTGGCATGGTAAAACCTAGTTTATTTGTGACGGCGAACCTACGAAATGCCATTTTTTGTGCAGTATATTAGTATTTGAATCAACAATGACAACAAAGTAGTTTATCCCTCTGACTCTTTCTAAAAGTAACCAAAAATGACAGCTTTTCACTTTTTCCTAGCGTTGAACCAACAATGACAAGAAACTTATCTCTGTTTCATAACATCGAATTAACAATACCAACAAGACTATCCGCATACAACTTTTATATAGTTGAACCAACATTGACAACGGTGTTATCTCTATGATAATATCTCAATAACGATGAACCATCAACGGCAATAAACTTACCCCTACACCTACTCACTAGACATTAACCACTACAAGCTTTTCTATTTTACCAGGATATGTCTGACTTTGCAAATCCGACACAGCTCACCATAAATGCTTACTCAAGTTGTACATACTCCGTGTTAAAGACTATTATCTTTTGTTTTTCGATCTGTTCTACAGCTTGGGTACATATATCGTAAAGTCAACGTTTCAGGTACATTTTCAGCAGGAATTCTCTCACAAACACCATCCATCCGAGAATGCCACGTAATAACAGACGTCTTTTCGTTGCATTCCAGCTTTCTTACAGATAGGCAGATAGTATATAAAGACATGTTAACTAGTGTCTAGCTACACAGTTCTCTATCACCCACCGCAAGGCGGGCTATTATACAGCATGAGTCCGCACGTGTCTCTTCAGATTACTCAGCTGACTGAACTGCCTGCCGCACTCCCCACACATGTAGGGTTTCTCTCCTGTGTGAGTGCGTATGTGACTCTTCATATTATTCAGCCGAGTAAACTGCTTGCTGCACTCCTCACATCTGTACGGTTTCTCCCCAGTGTGAGTGAGCTTGTGTCCCTTCAGATGACCCAGCGTGCTAAACCGTGTGCCGCACTCCTCACACCTGTAGGGTTTCTCACCGGTATGACTCCGCATATGAGTCTTCAGATCACCAAGCTGACTGAACTGCTTGTTGCATTTCTCACACCTGTAGGGTTTCTCCCCCGTGTGAGTCCTCACGTGTCTTTTCAGATGACCCAGCCTACTAAACTGTGTGCCGCACTCCTCACATCTATAGGGTTTCTCCCCTGTGTGAGTGCGTATGTGAGTCTTCAGACTACCCAACAGACTGAACTGCTTACTACAAGCCTCACATCGGTAGGGTTTCTCACCAGTGTGAGTCCGCATGTGAGTCTTCAGGTGACTCGCCTGACTAAACTGCCTGTCGCACTCCTCACACCTGTAGGGTTTCTCTCCCGAGTGAGTGCGCATGTGTGTCTTCAGATTACAAACCTGACTAAACTGTCTGCCGCACTTCTGACATCGGTAGGGTTTCTCCCCAGTGTGATTGTGCATGTGAATCTTGAGAAGACCCGGTTGACTAAACTGTCTGCTGCACTCCTCACACCTGTAGGGTTTCTCCCTTGTGTGAGTTCGCATATGAATCTTCAGATGATCCAGCTTACGGAACTGCCTGCTGCACCCCTCACATTTGTACGGTTTCTCTCCTGTATGAGTCCGCACGTGTCTCGTCAGATCACCAAGCTGACTGAACTGCCTGCCGCACTCCTCACATCTGTAGGGTTTCTCCCCTGTGTGAGTCCGCACATGTCTCTTCAGATCACTAAGCCGACTGAACTGCTTGCCGCACTCCTCACATCTGTGGGGTTTCTCACCGCAGCGTTGCATGACCTGTGGTCTGCCCTTCTAGGATCCTCACACCGATTGAGTTACACTCTGGAAATAACCATAGTAGACTTAGTAGACGTTTGTCAGAGTCGACAGAAAATCGACATTCATTCGACAATTAAATTGGTAAAGGAAAACAGTCAATCAATTAAAATGTTTCAAATAATTTGGCAAGTTTCAGTTGTTTTGCGAGCTAGCAGCCCACGGGGCCCTGTACAGATTAATTTGAATGTACACATGTACCTGTAGTTAGTACCCAACAGCAGTTAAAATTTCCTACTTGTACTTACTTTATTTGTGCTTCCAACTCGGCTGTCTTGTCACCACTGTGTCGAATGCCGTTTGGTTGACTGGAAAGTTCAAAATAACGGAGACGTTCAGTCTGCGTTCGTTCGAACGCGTATTCGATCGTTCGAGTTCGATCACAAGAACGCAACATCCGGCTTTCGAACGTTCGAAGCGCGGTGTAACAATTTCAAAACTGGCGCGTAGTTTGAGGCTCTAATTAATGTGAAAATTCTGTGAATCCTTATTGGTGAATGATGGGAATTTTATACCTTGTAACATGTGTAAGTTACTTAAAGGTTTGCATCGCTATGCATATATTATGTTAATGTAGATGGTTATTTGCATAATTAATGAGGACAAAGCAAGCCCATATTTCATGGAGGAATGAGATCTCGGAACTCTTGTTGAGGGTATGTATTGTATCCTTCTTGTTACATACCCGAAAGTGACGGAAAGAAAAGCCTACATGAACGACATTTGTTAAGATTTGACGTAGCTGATAGTATATAAGAATTATAATAAAACTTCCTGTATCATTAATTAGCACTGTACTTATCATATTTGGCGTAATAATTTTAGGTGGCATTTTCATGTGGCATAAATATACCTCTAAAACATCACACGTTACAGCTGTATTGGCAAAACTTGGTTTATTTGTGACGGTGAAACAACATTACATTGCCAACCTTGCAACTTTCCTATCTTTCCTATCCAATCTCAGCTGGTGTGTTACGCAGAAGGGCGGTTATACCGGCTATACAGATACAGATCTTTGAATCAACAATGACAACAACGTACTTTATCCCTATGACTCTCTTTTTCTAACATTAACCCAAAAATGACGGCTTGTCACTATTTCCTAGCGTTGAAACAACAATGACAACGAACTTATCTCCGATTCATAACGTCGAACCAACTGAACAGCAACAGTATACGTCTCCCTACAACTTTTTCTACTGTTGAATAAAGAAAACATTGACAACGATTACTATTTCTAGCGATGAACCATCAAACTTACCCCTAATACAAACTTATCACTACGGCTACTCACTAAAGATAAGCCGTAAACATGGACTACTAAAGCTTGTCCATGTAGCAAGGGTATGTCTGACAGTGCAAAATCTACAGAGAAATCTTACTCAGATCATCATAAATGCTTACTCAAGTTCTACATGTCTGTGAAAGACAACGAGTCGCCTTTTTCTTTCTTCATCTTTTCCACAGCTTGGACACATCATGTGTTGTAACTCCATGGACACATGTAATGTAAAGTCAACGTTTTAGGTATATCTACAGCATAAACTCTGTTACGGACACTATCCATCCGAGGATACCATACGTACGTGATGTTAATTTGTCAAAGACGTTTTTTTCTCTGCATTTAGCTTTCTTACAGATAGGCAGATAGTATATGAAGACATGTGAATTAGTGAGTGTAACTACACAGTTCCATCACCCACCGAAACGCCGCCTATCAGACAGTGTGACTTTGCATGTGTTTTTTCAGATTATTCAGCCTGGTAAACTGCTTGCTGCACTCCTCACACCTGTAGGGTTTCTCACCTGTGTGAGTGCGCATGTGTCTCTTCAGATGACCCATCTCACCAAACTGCTTGTTGCATTCCTCACACCTGTAGGGTTTCTCACCTGTATGAGTGCGTATGTGAACCTAGGCCTTCAGATGGCCCAGCCTACTAAACTGTCTGCCGCACTCCTCACATCTGTAGGGTTTTTCACCTGTGTGAGTGAGCATGTGTCTCTTCAAATCACCAAGCTGACTGAACATCCTACTACACTCCTCACATCTGTAGGGCTTCTCCCCAGTGTAAGTCCGCAAGTGTATCTTCAGATCACGATGCTGACTGAACCGCCTGCCACATTCCCCACAGCTGTAGGGTTTAGTGTGAGTGCGTATGTGAGCATTCAGATGACCCAGCTCACTGAACTGCTTGCTACATTCCTCACACCTGAAGGGCTTCTCCCCTGTGTGAGTCCGCGCATGTCTCTTAAGTTCACAAAGCTGACTGAACTGCCTGTCACACTCCTCACATCTGTGGGGTTTCTCCCCTGTGTGAGTGCGCACGTGTCTCTTAAGCTGATGCAGCTGACTGAACTGCCTGCTGCACTCCTCACATCTGTAGGGTTTCTCCCCTGTATGAGTCCGTATATGTCTCTTCAGATCACCCAGGTCACTGAACTTCTTGCTGCACTCCTCACACCTGTAGGGCTTCTCACCTGTATGAGTGCGCACGTGTTTTGTCAGATGACCCAGCTCACTGAACTGCTTGCCGCACTCCTCACACCTGTAGGGTTTCTCCCCTGTATGACTCCGGATATGAATCTTCAGATGATCCAGCCGACAGAACTGCTTGCCACATTCCTCACATCTGTAGGGTTTCGCCCCTGTGTGAGTGCGTATGTGTCTCTTCAAAGGACTCAGGTCACTAAAGTGTCTGCTGCACGCCTCACATCTGTAGGGTTTCTCCCCTGTGTGAGTCCGTATGTGACTCTTCAGACTATTGAGCACACTGAACTGCTTGTTGCATTCCTCACACCTGTAGGGTTTCTCCCCAGTGTGGGTCCGCATGTGTTTCTTCAGACTACTCTGCTCACTGAACTGCCTGCCGCACTCCTCACATCTGTAGGGTTTCTCTCCTGTGTGAGTCCGCACGTGTCTCTTCAGTTCACCCAGGCTAGTAAACCGTCTTTCGCACTGCTCACACCTGTAGGGTTTCTCCCCAGTGTGAGTCCGCACGTGTTTCTTCAGAACACCCAGCCTACTAAAGTGTCTGCCGCACTCCTCGCAACTGTAGGGTTTCTCCCCTGTATGAGTCCGTATATGTCTCTTCAGATCAGTCAGCTCACGGAACTGCCTGCCGCACTCCTCACACCTGTAGGGTTTCTCACCAGTGTGAGTGCGTATGTGAGCCTTCAGATGATCCAGCTTACTGAACTGCCTGCCGCACTTCTCACATCTGTAGGATTTCTCCCCAGTGTGAGTGCGTATGTGAGCCTTCAGATTACCCAGCTGACTGAACTGCCTGCTGCACTCCTCACACCTGTAGGGTTTTTCACCACAAGGCTGCATGACCAGTTGATGGCACTGTCCTCCTCACATCGATAGAGTTACACTCCTGTGAAGGACCATAATAGACTATTGTCAGAAACGACAGAAAAGTCGAAATTCATTCGACAATTAATCCGTGGGTAAAACAAAATGGTCAATCTATGGCCAGTTATCTCCTCTGGAAAATGTTTCAACCTCTTTGGCAAGTTTCTACTGTCTTGCCAGCTAGCAACCCATGAGGTCTTGTACAGATTAATTTGAATGTAGTTAGTACACAACAGCAGTTAAATTTCCTATCTATACTTACTTTATTTTTGCTTCCAACTCGTACGTCTTGTCACCACTGTGTCCAATGCCGTTTGGTTGACTGTAAAGTTCAAAATAACGGAGACGTTCAGTCTGCGTTCGTTCGAGCCCGTCTTCGATCGTTCGTGTTCGATCACAAGAACGCAACATTCGGCGTTCGAACGTTCGAAGCGCGGTGTAACAATTTGAAACTGGCGCGTAGTTTGATGCTCTTGCGTCACTTCCCCCTTCTCTTCCCCAAGATTATCTTAGGCTTACAGCATCGATATCTGTGGCACTGTACTATCACGGTAGTAATTTTATCATTGCGTGTATGCGTGTATATTGTATGTTCTTGTTACATACCCGAAAGTGACGGAAAGAAAAGCCTACATGAACGACATATGTTAAGATTTGACGTAGCTGAAAGTGTATAGAAAATTGTAATAAAAACTCCTGTATCATTAATTAGCATTGCACTAATCATATTTGGCGTCGTAATTTTAGGTGGCATTTTCATGTGGCAAAAATATGCCACTAAAAAATATCACACGTTACAGCTGGCATGGCAAAACCTGGTTTATTTGTGACATTGAACCAACATTGCAATGGTGTCCTTGCAACTTTCCTACCTTTGAATCCACAATGACAACAAAGTAGTTTATCCCCATGACTATCTTTTTCTAACGGTAACCCAAAACATGACAGCTTGTCACCATTTTTTTCCTAGCGTTGAAACAACAATGACAACAAACTTATCTCCGATTCATACCGTCGAAACAACAGCAACAGTTATACGTCTCTCTACAACTTTTTCTACTGTTAGAAATAAAAAAAAAACATTGACAACATGTTATCTCGATAACTATTTCTAGCGATGAACCATCAAACTCACCCCTACAACAACATCACTGTTACTACATTGTACTCACTAGACATTTACTAGTCAAACCTTGTCCATGTTGCATGTTGTATGAGTGCGTATGTGAGCCTTCAGATGGCCCAGCCTACTAAACTATCTGCCGCACTCCTCAAATCTGGTTTTCTACCAGTGTGAGTCCGGCAAGTGTCGTCTTCAGATCACGGTGCTGACTGAACCGTCTGTCGCATTCCCCACAGCTGTAGGGTTTAGTGTGAGTGCGTATGTGAGCCTTCAGATGACCAAGCTCACTGAACTGCCTGCCGCACTTCTCACACATGTAGGGTTTCTCCCCTGTGTGAGTCCGCGCATGTCTCTTCAGTTCACAAAGCTGACTGTACTGCCTGTCACACTCCTCACATCTGTAGGGTTTCTCCCCAGTGTGAGTGCGCATGTGCCTCTTAAGATGATACAGCTGACTGAACTGCCTGCTGCACTCCTCGCACCTGTATGGCTTCTCACCTGTGTGAGTGCGCACGTGTTTTTTCAGAGGACCCAGCTCCCTGAACTGCCTGCTGCACTCCTCACACCTGTAGGGTTTCTCCCCAGTGTGAGTCCGCATATGAATCTTCAGACTAGTCAGCACAGTGAACTGCTTGCCGCACTCCTCACATCTGTAGGGTTTCTCCCCTGTATGAGTCCTTATATGAGTCTTCAGATGACCCAGCTGACTGAACTGCTTGCTACATTCCTCACACCTGTAGGGTTTCTCTCCTGTGTGAGTGCGTATGTGTCTCTTCAGATGACTTAGCTGACCAAACTGCCCGCCGCACTCCCCACACATGTAGGGTCTCTCTCCTGAGTGAGTCCGCACGTGTCTCTTCAGATCACCAAGGTCACTGAACTGTCTACCACACTCCTCACATCTGTAGGGCTTCTCTCCTGTGTGAGTCCGCACGTGTTTATTTAGTTCACTAAGCCGACTGAACTGCTTGCTGCACTCCTCACACCTGTAGGGTTTCTCGCCTGTATGAGTCCGAATATGTCTCTTCAGATTACCCAGCTCACTAAACCGCCTGCCGCACCCCTCACAGCTGTAGGGTTTCTCACCAGTGTGAGTGCGTATATGAACCTTCAAATGATCCAGCTTACTGTACTGCTTGCCGCACTCCTCACATCTGTAGAGTTTCTCACCACAAGGCTGCATGACCAGTTGACTGCCCTCACACCTATAGAGTTACACTCCTGGAAAAGACCATAATAGACTTCACAGAAAAGTGGAAATTTATTCCGCAATTAATTATAATTCGTTCTTAAAACAAAATGGTCAAAATGGTTATATCCTCTGGAAAATGTTTCAACCTACTTGGCACGTTTTGTTACTGTTTCGCCAGCAAGGAAGCTGACGTGTCACGTCGAAGGGGATTATACCGGCTGTATAAATACAGATACAGATACATGGAGTCTTGTACTGACGTATCTGAACATACCTGTAGTTAGTACGCAACAGCAGTTAAAATTTCCTACTTGTACTTACTTTATTTGTGCTTCCAACTCGGTATCTTGTCACCTCTGTGCCGAATGCCGCTTGTTTCACTGGAAAGTTCAAAATAACGGAGACGTTCAGTCTGTGTTCGTTCGAACGCGTCTTGGATCGTTCGAGTTCGATCACAAGAACGCAACATCCGGCTTTCGAACGTTCGAAGCGCGGTGTAACAATTTCAAAACTGGCGCGTAGTTTGAGGCTCTTGCGTCACTTCCCCCTTCTCTTCCCCAAGATTTATGTAATATGCTTCTTGTTACATACCCGAAAGTGACGGAAAGAAAAGCCTACATTAACGACATATGTTGTATTTTCAAACTGTACAGAAAATTATACTAAAATTCCTGTATTATTAATTAGCACTGCACTAATAATTTTTGGCGTCATAATTTTAGGTGGCCTTTTCATGTGGCAAAAATATACTCGTACCTCTAAAAGCATCACACGTAACAGCTGTATTGGCAAAACTTTTTTTGGTTTATTTGTGACGGTGAAGCAACATTACAATGTTGTCAACTTTGTAACTTTCCTATCTTTCCTATCCAATCTTAGCTGGTGTGTTACGCTGAAGGGCGGTTATAAAGGCTATACAGATACAGATCTTTGAATCAACAATGACAACAAAGTAGTTTATCCCTATGACTCTCTTTTTCTAACGGTAACCCAAAAATGACAGCTTGTTACTATTTTCTAACATTGAACCAACAATGACAACAAACTTATCCCCATTCATAACGTCGAATCAACATCAACAATATAGTTCCCCCTAAAACTCGTTGTACCGTAGAACTAAAAACATTGAGCGATGTTATCGATAACTATAATTTCTAACGATAAACCATCAAACTTACCTCTACAACAAACTAACCCAAAAAGTACAGCTTGTCACTATTCCAAAGCGTTAAACAATGGCAACAAACTTATCACCATATCCTAGCGCGGAACCAACTATATGTCTATTTCATAACGCTAAATTAACAACAACAGACTTCTCCCTACAACTTTTTCTATCGTTAAAAACATATTGACATCGATGTTATATCGAACACTATCTCTAGCGATGAACCATCAAACTTATCACTACGGCTACTCACTAGAGATTAAATACTAAAAGCCTTTCCATGGTCTACGGAACAAATCCTACACAGTACGTTCATCGTCGACATTTACTGGAGATTCCCATGCTAGTGTTAAAGTATACACGTTATATATATTTTTAATCCGTTCCACATCTTTGGCACATGAAGTCAACGTCCAGCAGGAATTCTCTAACAAACACCATCCATCTGAGGATGCCACGTAACGTCAATTTGAAGCGATGTCTAGTGAACTAGTGTGTTAAGCTACACAGCTCCATCACCCATCGCAATGCGGCCTAGCATACAGTGTGAGTCTGCATGTGATCCTTCAGATGACCCAGCTGACTGAACTGCCTGCTACACCTGTTGGGTTTTTCCCCTGTGTGAGTCCGCACGTGTCTCTTCAGTTCACTCAGCCTACTTAACTGTGTGCCTCACTCCTCTCCCCTGTATGACTCCGAATATGAATCTTCAGATGACCCAGCTGACTGAACTCCTTGTTGCATTCCTCACACCTGTAGGGTTTCTCCCCAGTGTGAGTCCTTATGTGAGTCTTCAGATTACTCAGATAAGTGAACTGCCTGCTGCACTCCTCACACCTGTAGGGTTTCTCCCCTGTGTGAGTCCGCACGTGTCTTTTCAGTTTGCTCAGCTCACTGAACTGCTTGCCGCACTCCTCACACCTGTATGGTTTCTCTCCAGTGTGAGTCCGTACGTGTCTCTTCAGATTACCCAGCTCACTGAACTGCCTGCCGCACTCCTCACACCTGTAGGGTTTCTCCCCTGTGTGAGTCCGCACGTGTTTATTTAGATCACTAAGCCGACTGAACTGCATGCTGCACTCCTCACACCTGTACGGTTTCTCCCCAGTGTGAGTCCGCATGTGAGCCTTCAGATGACCCAGCTCACTGAAATGCCTGCCGCACTTCTCACATCTGTAGGGTTTCTCCCCTGTGTGAGTCCGTATGTGTCTCTTCAGATCACCAAGGTGAATGAACTGCTTGCCACACGCCTCACATCTGTGGGGTTTCTCCCCAGTGTGAGTGCGTATGTGAGCCTTCAGATTACCCAGCTCACTGAACAGCCTGCCGCACTCCTCACACCTGTAGGGTTTCTCACCTGTGTGAATCTGTGCATGTCTCTTCAGATGACTCAGCTGACTGAACTGGCTGCTGCACTCCTCACACCTGTAGGGTTTCTCACCCGTGTGAGTGCGCATGTGTCCCTTCAGATGACCCAGCCTACTAAAGTGTTTGCCACACTCCTCACACCTGTACGGTTTCTCTCCTGTGTGAGTGCGAATGTGTCTCTTCAGATCACAAAGTTGACTACACTGCCTGTCGCATTCCTCACACCTGTAGGGTTTCTCACAACAAGACTGCATGACCAGTTGACTGTCCTCCTAGGATCCTCACACCGATAGAGTTACACTCCTGGAAAAGACCATAATAGACTTCAGAGTCCACAGAAAAGTGAAAATTTATTCGACAATTAATTCGTTCTTAAAACAAACTGGTTATATCCTCTGGAAAATGTTTCAACCTACTTGGCAAGTTTTTACTGTTTTGCCAGCAAGGAAGCTGGCGCGGCGTGTCACGTCGAAGGGTGGTTATACCGGCTGAATAAATACAGATACAGATACGTGGAGTCTTGTACAGTCGTATCTGAATGTACCTGTAGTTAGTCCGCAACAACTTGTACTTACTTTATTTGGGCTTCCGACTCCTCTGTCTTGTCACCGCTGTGTCCAATGCCGCTTGGTTGGCTGGAAAGTTCAAAATAACGGAGACGTTCAGTCTGCATTTCTTGGAACGCGTCTTCGATCGTTCGAGTTCGATCACAAGAACGCAACATTCGGCGTTGGAACGTTCGAAGCGCGGTGTAACAATTTGAAAACTGGCGCGAAGTTTGAGGCTCTTGCGTCACTTCCCCCTTCTCTTCCCCAAGACTATGTTAGGTTTGCAGCATTGATATGACTTGGCTCGATGTAAATTGTGCGTTTAAATCTAGTGCGAGAAAACTTTAGGGTTTGCGTTCAGCCTCCAAATACGCGGCAGCGTTCATGACTTACAGTTTCAGTCTGGTTCCGGTTGGCCCCTGAAGCCTGCATTGGGGACAAACGGCTGTTCACCTGGCATGGAAAATAACAGACAAATTTGGTAAAATATGTATTAAGAATTCCTGAAGACTGGCTCTAGATTATACTTTTAGTTTCGCCCCTGTGGCGTCGCTAAAATAATTAGGCAAATACAGAATGTTTGTTTTTCTTCACATCGTGTAGACTAAACAATCGTCGCAATCTTTCTTAGGACTAAATGTTGTGCAGAAATGTTGGGAGTAAAATGTTATCAAAACATTTCAAAGGCACGGTACACCTTAAAGCGAACATTTCCTACAATTGTTTGCCTGCTATCAGTCCCCTCCAGACTTCCTCCCAACACTTCCTCGCATTCTGATGCCGTCCCTAATGCAAATGAATCCCTGCAGCTGACCTGTTTAAACAAACCTCCCCCGCCCCGCACACCCACAGTACCGGCGCGGTTCCTGTTATGTGGTCTGTTTACTCTTAGTCTTAGTGTTGACTTCTCATTAATACCTAAACCCAAACGTCACCGGTAGGAACTATAACGTTACATCGCGGCCGGTCGGACCAGGATCAACCCAGGATCATGAAGTTACCTTTACAGGTGTTACACCTGCTAGCTGTGTCAGTGTTACCTGTTCAGTACACCAGGGGAACAGGTGAGGCATTGTTTAGCCTGTAGTTAGGAGCGTGACTTGCAGTGATTGGTATGTAATCGGAGATCTAGAGATTGTTGCTGCCCCTCCCAAGAAGTACGTGTACAAGAGTTGCTTAGAAAATTGGCACAAACTTTAGCTTTAGGTTTTGAGTACTTTTAACGTTTATATATAAAGTTTGGAATGTAGCTTTGTGCTTCAAGGCCACATTTCGTAGCGTTACTCGTACTTCCTGTTATTAAGTGGAACAGATTTTCACAAGAGAGCGTAACACGATATTTTCGTGTCAAATTCAACAAGGACATTCTACGTGAAGCTCCTTGGTTTATAAGTTACTAGACTAACTTAAGTATTGATTGGTATCCAGCAGATTCATATCCAAATTTCGTATCGTTACTTTTTACTTCCTGTTATAGTAGAATAATTTGTTGATTTTCACGCTGTTCCTTTGGAAAGTGTAACACAATCTTCACGTGTCAAATTCCAGCTTCATGGTTTTTACGTTATATATCAGTATCCCTAATACTATACCGGCAAATAGAGCCAAGTTGACATGATAGTCCAACATCAAGTACAATGTATGTCAACGGTAGACAGGCCTGGTTTTACTCAAGATTATTTGGGCAATACCGACAAAGTTTCTTGTTTCTCAGTCTTTAAAACATCATAAAAGTGTATAAGGTCAGGGTAGCCTTGACACTCTGATTTAAGTGTGAGGAAGGATCTTGTGCAGCAGTGAGACATGTATTTTTGCCCCTGTAGTGGTATTTTGTTCTAACAGCACAGTTATAATGTGAACTTCTATCTCCAGACCTACCACAGGAAGCAGCTGACATCCACCATTCCCTGAAATATTACCAGATCACTGAGCCGTACAGATTAGAACAACCAGCCAACCAGGCACAGGTAAGGGTTAGGGTATTATGCTGACGTTTGGTTACAAATTGGTTTTTACAAACTTTTCTGTGCTCATGTTAAGATTTCTTTTGACTCAATTACTAAGGACTGCACGAAATTCGATTCAGAGCTCATCTTTAAGTATCCGTAAAGGTACTGTTTGTAAAAAAAAAAGGAACTTTACACATGCTTTTTAAATTAAAAGCAAGAAGATTTAAGTGGATATAACCTCTTTGCTTGAAGGCATGCTTAAAGATCAGATTTCATGCAGTCATCAAGTTTAACACTTGAGATAACACAAAATTCAACCTTGTTCTGTCAAAGTGGGAAGACTAACTAACTGTAATAATGTGAAAGTCACACCCAGCCTAGACAATATCCTGTGCCCCGGGGGTTCTGAACAGGTAACAACGACACCCTTAACAGGTGTTACACCTTACAAATATTGCATAGTGGAACTGGTTGTCACCAAGTACAGTAGGGGTATTATCATATGAGTTAGATTTAGGGGTTAGGTGTAACATTTTACTCATTTGGTGTACTGTAGCCAGCTGCCGCTGTGCCGTGTGCCTGCAAAGCTGGTGTGTTAGGCTGAAGGCTCCAGGACAGCCATGTATTATACTGTCTAGTAGTTGCAACCAATATATTAGCTGTGTTTGCACGATTTCTGTATCAATTCATTAGTCCTGTGAAGGGGGCAAACAAAGCTGTTGACTTTTCAAGATCATTAAGTCAATTTATATTCCAAAGAGTAATTTATCGAATTTCAATAGGGGCCTTTACAATTGGATTGTGCAAAGAAACTTTACTTACAATAGTTCCTTTCATGCTCTGTGAGTTAGAACTCACAGTTTTTGATGCTTTGATAAAAGTGGTTTGAGGGGCCTAGCCCTATGTTTTGACACCCCTTATGTAGAATGATGTTCCTATACTCATATGTTCTAATGTAGGGTTAGGGTTTAGGTTTGTCGGAACAATATCAGCTTGAGCCATAAATAATTTCATTAGGTTGGTGAATGACTAAATATCTTAAGTTCTTAATTCGCAACCACTTGTTAACTCTTGTGGTTGAGTCTCTAGACTTGTAGAACAAGTGGTTGTCAATAAAGAACTTTGATCCCCAATATTTAAGCTTGATTTGTTGGAACATAGGGGTGTCGAAACGTGACTAATAGTGGTTTGAGGACCCTGAATACAATGGGGGAACATGTGGAATTGTGGACAATGTCAATGATTTATAGTATTCTTTTCAACTTGAAGATGAACTTTTCTTTCAGGGAAATGACCTCACAATTTCTCTGTCAGCTTTTGGGACGAACTTCACCCTTGATCTGACCTTAAACAGGTGAGAGTTGGGAAAGACAGGTTGGCGTCATTCATGATATCACAAACATCAAGTTACTGTTTGACTGTTATTTATTGTGAATCAGCATAGAAATATATGCATTTGAGGTATGCTATTTATTTACAGTATGTAATACAAGTCAAGTCAAAGTTTATTGTGCAACAATTACATTGGGTTCAATCATATGGCAATACATGTAATACTATTTGATCATTAAAATCTAAGCATTTTATGTATACTAGTTGTCAAAATTATTTCCAGTCATAATATATAATCCGAGTAAGTAAAAATGTTGGATTGAAGTAATATATGACATTTTTTTCTGTATCTTTAAACAGAAACCTTGTCCCGAGAAGTGCAAAGCGACACCTGTGTCACTACCAAGGTGAAGTTCGGGGCTCACCAGGTTCCGTAGCAGTCATCAGTACATGTAGGGGGGTCAGGTAGGTTCTTTTGGGTGTGAAATGGTTTATGTTTTGACATCTGTATGTGCTATCAACTCAACCTGTGTTCTGACAACCTTAAGCCTACCATATTGGAACATCGAGTGAGTGAGAGCTGAATTTGTGTTCCTTTGAGTGCAAGCAATGGCTTTAAGTTAATTTTTCCCAATATGTGACACTATTTATGTTGGAAACATCACTAAACTTATCTCTAGAAAATATCTCATGGCCATCTATTAACTTAAGAAGAAAGAGAAGGAGATGTCCTTGATACATTTGAACTAGACAGTATATTATATGCTAAGATACAATGTATATTGATAACAATTTTTTTCATTTGTTTGTATTGAATGGCTGACTAACCACAAGGTGCAGACAAGCACCTCCAGTCCTTCCGAAACAACTTTTTACCAAATGTGTTAAAATTGAATTAAAAAATCTACAATTCTGTGCTGTTTTGTTCCAGAGGGTCCATCCATGTGGATGATGATGTGTTCTTCCTCCAGCCGACCCCTGGCTCAGGCCACATTGTGTTCAGACAACAGGACATACAGTCGGAGGGGAGGCAGGGAGGGCACTGTGGTCAGTACTGGGTTGGCTTGGGAGACTACATCATACCTTTTAATAGTTAGATGTTGTCTGGTGTATCAACTTAACCTGGCTGACTCTAAGCAAAAACCCTCCCAATACCAGCCATTTTTTTTTGTTGTTTTTTTTTTTACTGGCTGGTTGCAAGGGACATGAATTTTCTATCTGACAGCTGAGTGATGAAAACATTGTGGGATCATTTTCCAACATCTTCTCTTCACTTGCAATTAAAAATTCAAATTTTTCTGGACCGCAGTCGGAAAAACAACATTTACATACTAGTATTACTTTTCCTAGGCCTTATACATGTATACAGTCTTATAGAAGGCTTTACAGAATTTGTGCCCATATCATTTTTAATTGCTTCAACTTCATGACTTAACTGAAGCTTATGACTGTCACAATATTTTGAAGGGTCCCATGATGCTGAACTCGTGTCAACTTTGAACAAGAGCAGCTTCTCTCTACAGAGGGTGAGTACAGCTCAGCATCTGATTCAGCAGAGAAAATTTATCTACATGTACAATGGTAGAATCCTAATCATCTGAGCTCAAATCACTAAACTCAACCAAACTACAGTAAGACATTGTCAAATACAGCATTATAACACAGCTTTTGCCTCCTATGCAGGCGAAACGTGACGTCTACAGTGAGACAAAATATGTGGAACTGATCCTGGTGGCAGACAGTCGAGAGGTGAGATGTTTTAGAGGTCTGAATGTCAAGTTTAATATCTGACACTGTTTGTATCAAATGGTCTTCGTTAATGAGGTAAGATCACCGTAGTAACTAGAGAGGTAACACTTGGAAAGCAAATGCATAATCTTTACCTTCACAAACAAACAATAGCTCTGTTAATTCTTACATATAAACACCTTCATACATGTATAACCCTCCAACTCTGCCACTTGCTACATAATGTAACCCAAGACATACCACTGGGTGTTTGCAACAACACCTGTTACTATGGGGACAGTCATCTGGTCCAGGTTATTGAGCTTTGACTTAAAAAGTTTCTTGTTTGGAGCATATAAAGAGGAAGAAGGGGAAGAGTAAAGAGTTAAGAAAGATGTTAAACTTGTAGTACTTCATGTATTATATCAGCAGGTTTCTTAAATGGAGCCTGTAAATTGTAATAAGAATATCTGTAACAAATAATTGATTTCTGTGACTCCCATGAACAGGTCCAGGATGTGGGTAGTGTCGCAGCAACACAAGACAGGATGGTAGAGGTGGCCAACTATGTGGACACGGTGAGGGCACATGGGCTGCTTACACTTTGGTGAATTAACAAAATTTTAATCTAAAATATTCCTATATAGTGATACTGCATCCAGTGGCCTCTGGGCCAAGAGGTTGGGAGTTTGAATCCCAGCTGTTGTTGCTCATCCGACTGTAAAGTGTAACAATACTGTAACAGTCCTCATATTATGGTACGTGAAGCTGTGGTCTACTGTTCACTGTGCTTGTCCAAAAGAGCTAGCCGGGTGAATTTTCCCGGGATAATGAACCTGTAAAAAGTAAAATACTGTACATATTATATACTATTAGCATTTGCCTTCTTTGTCACAAATGGGTAAGTGCCATAAAACCAATAATACATACCAGAAGTTTGAAACCTCTGATTTCTTGTTTAAATCATACATTTTTGTCTTCTTTAAGCCCATTTGTTTTAAATGCTGCATTTTTCATCTATCCCACCTGCATCAGTTTTACAAGCCGCTGAACATCCGAGTGGCCCTGGTTGGGTTGGAGGTGTGGACCAGTAACCCCATCACTGTAGACAGGAGCCTACAGAGAACACTGGACAGGTTTCTGGAGTGGAGACGCACCTCACTGGTCAGGAGACAGAGTAACGACAACGCACAGTTGGTCAGGTATGTCGTATTATCAGTAAGTCACTTCAAAAGTTGTGTTGGGTTCTTTAACGTGCGTGGTGTGTGGCTCTCCCCAAACACGGGACCTCCATTTAACGTCCTATCTGAGGGACGTCCCTTAACCAAAGCAAGGTACCCATTCCACCTGATTGAAGTGAAGATAGTTGTCTTTCTCAAGGGTGCAAGTGTGATGACATTGCAGGATTCAAATCCGGGATCTCTTGGTTCTGAGACAAACACAACCATTACACATACCACGGGTTCCTGGATTTGAATACTATTACTGCATGTACTCCATACTTCTTGGAACTTTAGGCAATTTCTAACCTACATTATTGTTCTTTAGACTTGTGTTCACGTGAGACAAAATGACATGCTTCTTGAGGCAAGGATTTGATCCCAACTAACAACTATAATGACGAGTATAAATTGTTCCTCTGCAGTGGACAGACCTTTTTCGGGGGTGGTGAGATCGGCATGGCACCGTTTGCCTCCATCTGTACATCTGCTCGATCAGGGGGAGTGACCGAGGTAAGTTGATTACTATATTATAATATTAGAAATCTTTGCCAGTCAAAATTATTTTTAAAAGGCAGTCAATGACCTTTTTCAGGCTGTAGGGGTAGTGGGTTGTTAATCCACTGTGTCTAGGGCATGATATTGGAAGGCAGATGCCATCCCTCTTCTTCCTTCCCGACTTTACCTTATCATCCATAGCCAGGGACCCATTTTACTCCTGGATGAAGTGGGGAAAGTCGTGTTAGGTGCCTTTCCCAAGAACACAATCATCTTGCAAGAAATGCCGGGAATCGAACCCATCATTCATTCCTTCATTCCTTCATTCATCCATCCATCCATCCATCCATCCATCCATCCATCCATCCATCCATCCATCCATCCATCCATCCATCCATCCATTCATTCATTTCTTCCTTCCTTCATCCTTCCTTCCTTCATCATTCATTCACTCACTCACTCACTCACTCACTCACTCACTCACTCACTCACTCACTCACTCACTCACTCATTCATTCGCTTCCCCCCTCTCCTGTAGGACATGTTCGCGTCTAGCACAGGCCCAGTGCTGTATGTGGCGTCGACCGTGGCTCATGAGTTAGGGCACAACCTGGGCCTGAACCACGACACGGGCGGGAACTGTCGCTGTCCTGTCGACGATAGCAACGGGGGCTGCATCATGAGACCAGCACAAGGGTAAGTACAGTAGGGTATAGACTACTTATGGCATGGGCACATTTGTTGCTGGCAGTCATATGATTTTGATGCCGTGAAATTTGCAAGCAAACCGTTAGTAAATTTTTGAGCAAGTTGTTAGTAAATGTGAAGTTAATTCTTTCCTCAGTGCAAAACTCTGTCTCAGCAGTCCAGCTGCTAATACTGAGTGAGAGCTGATATAGATAAAAAAAGCATTAATACATATATATACTGTATATATAATGCGATTCAACACCACAGGGTGTGGGTCCCTGTCTGTACAAAGGCCTGACCGAGACAGGCTGCCAGTACGATACCCTGTATATCCTACACCACAGGAACATCCCACCCCAGCAGTTCTCAGCCTGTAGTGCAAATGGATTGAGACAGGCCTTGGAGAGAGGCTGCCTGTATTATAGCCTGTACATACATTTGTAACCTGTATATCCTACACCACAGGAACATCCCACCCCAGCAGTTCTCAGCCTGTAGTGCAGAGGGACTGAGACAGGCCCTGGAGAGAGGCGTGGGCCCCTGCCTGTACAAGAGGTTGCCTGTAGGATAGCCTGTACATAACCTGTATAATCCTACACCACAGGAACATCCCACCCCAGCAGTTCTCGGCCTGTAGTGCAGAGGGTTTGAGACAGGCCTTGGAGAGAGGCGTGGGCCCGTGCCTGTACAACGTGCCTGACCCAGACAGGCTGTTTGGAGGCCCGGTCTGTGGGAACGGTTATGTGGAGCAGGGGGAAGAGTGCGACTGTGGAACAGTGGAGGTGAGGAAATCAGCTGCAGTATCTTCAAAATAATGCTTTAATGGGGAAGTGGGCTGAGTAAAAGTTGAACTGTAAAACACTCACTGACTTTCCCTAATGACTTACGTTATTAGAGGTTTTTTTTTTCAGCTCCTATC